CGATCATCAAAATTCTGTAATTTTATTGGCTGTTGATCACATGATGTGCCTCCGCTTTAGACGACCTCTAAATTTGGTGAGTGATGGTTGTTGGACCCAAAATGAATGCTAATAAAACTTCCAGTCACGTGTTGATAGACAAAAGTCGTCATGTAACGTAACACGACCAGGATTCGTTCTTTGAAAAAATTGCTTGTTTCACCTTTAGTGCAATAACAAAAAGTTTTTCTTGAGCGTGTTAAAACTCTCAAATTCTAACCTTAATATAATAGGCGCTGACCCAAACCCTAACGACTTCAAAAAATTTTGTAGGTCATCACGTGACCGTGAAATTTTGTTGGCGTACCTGGGTAAGATGTTGGACCCAGGGCTGGTCACGATTTTTTGCCCTTTTAACTTAAAAACAATAAAAAGTAAAACAAACGTAATGATACAGATCTATAGGGGCATGCCCCAAAACCCTCAGCCCAAAAGCGTGCTTCTTTGGTCATGCCCTAATATTTCCTTGTGCACCCAACCTTAATAAATGCACCATCGCCATGGCTTAGTTTTTGGTCATACACAATAATCAATGCGTTTGCATCATTATGATGCAGCGGAAGGAAGGAAGGCTTTTTTTTTTAAAGTTTGAGATTTCGTACATCCACTTTTAGAAATATTCGTAATATGTAATGTTTTCTTGTACACTTGTGTTTATATGCGTGTAGTTTTAAGTTTGAAATTCGTTTATATACAGTAATTCAGAATAAATGACATGTACACGTTGAAATATGCAATTGTATTAAATTCACATGCTAACAATGTATAGTAATTGATCTCGATTCATTTCATATACCCATTTTTCAAAAAAAATTTTAATGACATAACGAGACATAAACATCTGCGCCTTGGCCCCTATGACGATCACAGATCATATATGACGCTTTTAAGTAAATTTATGATACGCACACCGTAACACGACCATAATCATTTTTAAATATATAATGAGTCTCAAATTTACTTTCTTTCTAAACGAGAATTCTTTTGGTCTTAAACATGGTCTATTCCAATGAGACTAAACCTTGTCAAATAACAGAAAAATGGATTATGAGCGCGGTTATCGAACAAGGTATATACCATTAACTTTTATTGAACAAGTTATTCTTTACAATGTTCTAATGAGTGTAATCTGAATCGCTGATCATGAATTTCATCAATCAATTATTAGGACGGATATTGTCGAAGTTTGAATTTCAACTTACGTCATATGATCCAAAGACTTTCCGCGCATTCTTTGAACCGACAAAACCGGTGCAACAGCTGCGCCTCTATGCAACTTCAAAACGACATCGTCCTCAGATAACATCAATCACCCTGCTCGAATACAAGAATGGCCATGTAACGACTGAAGAACAAATTTCTCATAGTCCTCTTGCGTTCTCGGTCAATAAATCTGGCAAATTTCGCCTCTTTCATAATCAAGCACTTTGGCATATGTATATTCAAGTATCAACGGATTCTTACAGAAGGAAAAATCCTCAGCGTTACGTTTCTCCATTAGGGTTTGAAGTTGAAATTGACATAAATGTGTCTGATGGAAAGGTTCGGCTCACCACTAGCAAGGATATAAACGATCGAACTACCTTTACACCACCGCCCCTTAAAAGATCAGCACCTTCGTTTCCATTTAAAGATCATCAGTTCACCGAATGGTGCGTTAGAAAACCTCCAAAGTGGCAAAGAATATTAAATCATACAAGTGATACTGTTAGAAGTTGGTGTCGAAGAGGATTCATGTGATTTACAATTTTTGAACATTCTGCAAATGTATATATGTATATATAATTTTTTATTTTTTTTATATTTTATCCGTTACATAGCGAGCTTTTCTTATATTTTATCCTTACATAGCGAGTTACTTAATTTGCACCTGATGAAATTAATTACTCCAAATTTCATTAATTCAACTCCAATTTCACTAATAGTGGTAAAATTATTTCGCCACTCTAGTTTAACCTCTCCATAAGTTTAAGTGAATCGACGCAACTCGCGTAAACTATTAAACTTGTTAGCATACGTGGAGAGCATTGGTATTTTTCATATTTTCATTATATGGTTTAAGCATATTTTCTAAGATTATGTATGTAAGAATTTTTTAAGCTTTATAAATTTATCGGACAATTTTTTTTTAAAAAAAAAAAACCTACACAAAAAGGTTATACCTATTTGAAGGTTAATTAATATTGTCAGATGTAAATTTCAGTATCATAATAAACTTAATACTTTTCAGCTCACTATAGAATATAAAGTTTGTAAAATCAAACGTACTTCCTATCATATTTTCTATGTTGAACTCTTAGAACTTGGGAAGTGCTACCTAGTGTTACAAATCGGCAAAATTTTTTCAATCGATTAGTTAGTTAATTATTTTTCCAGTTGGTTGCAACTAATCGATTAATCGACGAGTTGTAACTAATCGATTATTGCGGTTTGCAAAATTATGTGTGAAATTTTAAGATCAATATAAAAAAAATTAATCACTAATTTCAATATTTTTTTGACTTTTAGGCTAGACAAAATTTGCGCATTTATCAGTAATCAGAAATTAGTGATTACTTTGATCTTCAAATTTCACATAATTCGGTTTGCAAAATTATGCGAAATTTGAAGATCAATAATTATTTGTAAAAATTTGATTGAATATTTTAATTCGAAACTTTTATTTTTGCAAATATATTGCAAAATAATGAATATGCAACTTTCATTTCCATAAAAATAATAAAATTTTTACAAGATAATTGCACAAATTTTGTCTAATCTAAAAGTTAAAAAAATGTTAAAGAAATCAGAAATCAGTAATCAGAAATCCTAATTACTTTTTTTTTAATGATTTTTAAATTTCACATAATTTTGCAAACTGCAATAATCATCAAATTTTACAATTTTGCAAATCGCAATAAATTCTTTAGTTGATTAGTTGCAATTAATTGATTAAGCTAACTTCTGAGTAGTCCCTTATCATGCCCAACACTTTTACTTTAGAATGTATACATAAATATACAATATCTAACTAATAAAGGATTTATATGATATATAATAAAATATATTACAAAAATTGAACTATTATATATATTCAATATATATAAGAATAACCTATCTAAAAAATATGTAGTTGTATAATAACTTAGTTCAATAGAATTAATATATCTACTTCTAAGTTATTAAATATATAGCTCTTTTGTTACTATAAAATTTTTTATTATTAAACCTTCTTCTACAAAATTCTGTATAGTGTTTTCTGCTTTTTTTTTCTAATTCGGCTATCCTGCCCCTGTTTATTTGAGATCAAGTTATTCAAAATTACAAGAATTTATCTCTAATTAAAGTAGATCTAACTAAATGAAGAACTTACTCATGTGATTTTATACACTAGATATGATCTGCCTCAGTAGCTCTTGGCCTCTCTTAGGGTCCTTAACTCATTAAAGACTTTTTTTCCGTTGTTTATTAGTTGGCAGCTACCCACTCATCAAGAAGCAAAATCAGAAAATAAAACAAACTAACT